TGTGTAGTGATTGTGATGATCCTTATGCTCCCATGCAATGGGAAAAAACGATGAGTTGAAAATTAATGGGAATCTAAAGCTGTACAATTTGCTATCGATTGCTTTGGTTTATCCTAATCTGGGAATTATATTCCTGGTAATGACGCTTATAACTTTCAAAATTCTATGTTCTGTATATTTTGCCGTAAAAACTGCAGTTTCTAGTAACACTTATGGCTTTGGCAATTATTACATTTCTAATCTTTTTTATTGCGGCCACCTTTGGAACAGTAGCATACCAACCATATTTGACAAGTAAAAACGACAGTGATAGGCAAACTGCAGAAATTTTACATAGCGTTCTTGTGTTTTGGCTGGTTTTATAGTTTTTTCATGGTTGTTGCCGCAATTTCAGCTTTCCTAATGAAAAACAGAGAAGAATAAAGTGACTCGTGTCAAAGAAATCTCAAAAAACCAAAAAGCAGTATGAAAATTCAGAAACAGCTTTTTTCAATGAAAAAAGACGCAACATCACAACTCTGCTACAACGGAGAGTATTTTGTCATACAAATAAAGATTTTCTTGCTCAAGTACCTTTTTAATTTATTAATTGTTTTATTCAAATCACATGAATCAAAACAACCGCAAAATTTAAACTTGGTTTTGTCAAGAAAATCAGAAATTTCACATATTGAACTTTAACTTATTCGTATCAAAATCAAGATATTATTTCACTTGCGACAGCAATTGTGTTACAATTTGTTACTAGTTTTTTTCTGTAAAAAAATTTTTAGACTCAGCGCATGGTCTTCGCTATTAGGAACATTGCGAGACAAATTTTGAGCATGTTAATTTCTTAAATATCCATCCTACCCAAAAAAACTTGTTTTTTTTTGCGTTGGTTGTAAGTTTACCTTTTCGTTTTGTTCGGAATTCATTAAAATTAATTTTTGTTAGTTTTTTGTCTTAATATGTGTCGAGCAGTGAGACCTAAAAGTGTGAACTAATTTTGAAGTCTTTGTGAACTTTTTGACCTAAAAATTTTGGCATACAGCTTTTTGGCTTTTTGATTGACTAAATTTTCTACGGATGCTAATTTTTCATTCCATTGCCTTGGCATAACTTTTTATAAAGTGGCTTGATTCAATTGATAGATATATATATTTTTGAAATTTTGTCAATTTTGTGTTTGATTTCGATATCTATAGTGCGATATGAACAGTGCTTGAGAAGTTTTTCAGCAAAAAAAAATATTTGAATGACCTTGTTGTGATGTAAATATACAAATAATAAATATAATAGAAAAAAGTTCACTTATCGGATTGAGATGATCAGACGAAAACTGGGAGAACTCATTAGTGATCAAAACGCCAGCTTTAGATAGATAAATTGATAGAAAAAATAGCAAGGAACTCTGGTTAAAACAATACGAGCATTCTGCGAACAATTTTACGTCAAAACTTTTTTTGACGTAGGAAAAAAATCGGTTTTTTGAATCAGTTGCGCAGGGCAGAGTTTTCATCTCAAAGGAAGGCTGAAATTTTTAATTTATGGTCGAATTATGAACAAAAATTTTATTCAAGATATGATAACTTTTATGAAAGTTCTCGATAGTCCATTTAAAATGTTCATCAACAAAATATGCAACAGAAAAAATTCTCCTTAAACTAAAAAAAAGGTTCACCCAATTTACTATGCTAAAATTTTTTATTTTTTTTCCACTAAATATAGTTGCGCTAAATTTCCAAGCATCAAGATGTTTTCAAGGGCCTAAAAATGAATCAATGTCAGGCCAAAAAAAAACTTTTTCCAAATGTTTCAAAAACTTTTCAGTATTACTTTAACTATAGGTTAAATCGTGTCTGAGGTGGTTTGAAAAAAGTTTATGACTGGAGCTTTTCTAACGTTTAATCTTGAAAATCTTGAAACACAGTTGAATCAAAAACACTTGCCCCTTTGTTGTCGAAATTTTTGTTTATATGATGTATTTAATTATAATCAAACTCTGCCAAGCAAATTGATCTTGATATACACGACCAAATGGTTTAAAAAAATTTTCACGCAGGAAAAAAACCGATTCTCTGAAGCGGCTGCGATGGGCAAACTTTTATTGCAAAGACAATATTTCTAGATGACTGAACAACAGTGCACAACCAACAAAGATTCGTGATTTCTTGTGCAGACAAAAAATTTAAATATTTAGCCATGGTTTTAGTTTCAAGAGTTTCGAAGCTGAAAAAAATCATATGTCAGTTATTTTTTCAAAAGCCAATAAAAACACCTCTGACTCTTATTTAGGTCACGTTGATAGATTTTTTTCTCTGATTTTTCAGAAAAAGTCTTAAAGGTGCTCAACAGAAAGGCAATCAGTCATATCAATGTACTTATGAATGCCCTGAAGTAGCTCTTGCTAATTTGCCAGTAAGTAGGCAAAAAGTACTCTTCCATTGCGAAATTCAAAAACTGAAGCTTTTTAAAAAACAAATTTTGAGTTCGTTTTTTGAGTTCTATAAATCTTTCCCCGCAGCCTGTTTGCTTTGTTTCTTCAATTAAAAATTAACTAATCAATTATGGATCAAAACATAAGCAAGAACTACGAAAGATTCGAAGTTATGGGCGCGTATATATATCTAGATCAGTTTGCTTGACGTTGTACGAATACATTTAAAAAGAATTAAATAAACTAAAATTTCGACAACAAGGTGGGAAGTGTTGTTGATTCAACTGTGGTTCAATATTATCTCTGCAAAATAAAAAATCATAGTTAAACAAAAGAAGGCTCCAGTGATACACTTTTTGTATGAAAAACTCTTCTGACATAACTCAATCCTTAAATAAAACGAAACTAAAAAATTTTTTAAAACATTTTGTCAAAAGCAGTCGGCTTTTGGCTGACCTCTGTTTACTTTCTGGCCATTAAAAATTTATCGATTCTTGAGAAAATCAGCAAATTTAATTTTGTGGAAAAACAAATTAATTTCTTTTTACATTATTTTGTGTAAACTTTTGTTAGTTTAAGGAGAAGAAGATCTCCATAAATTAATAAGGTTTTCACATTAATTTCTGTCGCTTATTTTTCTGAAGAAATTTATAAGCCACTGACTATCGAGAAGCTTCAGAAAAATTATCAATTTTCGAATGATTTGTTTTTTTTGATGAATTGGGCTTTAAAATAAATATTTAAACCTTTGAGCCCTGCGCAATCGCTTCAGAGAATCAGATTTGCCGTAACTTTTTTTATCGTAACTTTTTTTGCAGGTGCTTGTTTTATTTCGTTCCGAGTTTCTTGCTATTGGAACCATTTGGTCGCGCAAAGATCAATTTGCTTGTAACTAGATTTAAATATATTTTATAAATTAGATTTTCGACAACAAAGTGGGAAGGATGTTTTATTTAACAGTGTTTCAATTAATTTTTTTTCAAAATCAGGAAACATAGTTAAACAAAAGAAGGCTCCAGTAATATATATGTCTTTCAAGACAATTCTGAGATAATTCAATCTTTAAATAAAACGAAACTAAAAAGATTTATAAACATTTTGTTTAGAAACCAATGTTTTGGCCCGACCCCCATTTGTTTTCTAATCATGCGTCTGGTTTTTTTGTGATTTCATTGGAATTAAATGCCTTATCTACAATCAATTTGGAAGGTTTTCTGACCAGGATTGATGAGCTACTTACGCTTGAAGAAAAATAAGCAACGCATTGGCACATGAAAACTTATTGGCAACGCATTGGCACTTATAAAAATGAGCTCCTGTTAAATATTTCTTTTGTTTTTTGCTTCAGAGCATTTTTTTTAAATATTAGAATCTCAAAAATTCTTGTTAAAAATTTGTAAATTATCTGAGGAATAAAATTACACAGAGAATAAATAATTCTGCGTTTTGTTGGATGTCGAGGTACACATTTATATTTTGCATAGTAGCATGGAGTATTTGCACCCATTAGCGTCCCGTACCCAGTAAATTTTCTAAAACAGATCTGAAATAATCTTTTTCAGATCTAAATTTCAGATCTGAAATAGATTTTGAAATGCTCAAAAAACGCTTGGATATTTTAAGGAATGGTTAGTTCAGCTCTAATTTCAGATCTGAAATTTAGTTTTTTTTGGTTATTTCAGATATGAAAAATCAATGATCCTGACACAACTTTTGCTAGTTTTGATTTTTTTGTTTTGATAGATTCTGCTAGCTACAAGCAGGTATTCGGCAAAATCTCAAGTTAGAGACTGCCAAACTATGTTTCCCCGAGCATAGAATAAACATTGGAAACGCATAAGTAGCGCATGAAAAACTAAAAATTTGACAGGTTTTAACAGTTTTTGAAAATTTTTAAAGCAGTTGAAAAAACTGTTTGTGAAATTATCCGGAACTTTTTTAATCGCTAGTTAATAATATAATAATTGTGTATGGCAGAATTATCAAAAAATAAAAACCTAATTTTTTGCTCGAAATGCATAAAATATAATTCAAAAAAATTCTCAGATCTGATTTCAAATCTGAAACTTATTTTTTCAAGGCTATTTCAGATCTGAAACTTTCTATTTCAGATCAATTTCAGATCTGAAATTTAGTAATTCCTTACAAGATCAGAAATAAAGAAGTTCAGACCTGAGAATCAACTTATGTAAGAAATAAAGAATTTCAAATCTTGCACAGAAAATCGCATGGGTACGGGGTGCTAAATATCTCATTAGAGTGATGTCTGAGACGGATAAAGTCTTCTCCTACGCTAATCTCAAAACAAAATATTGAAACTTTGAGCCTATTAATTTATTCGATCCCAAAATACTTACGAAAAAAACCGCATGAGATATAACTTAAAATCAAGCGAAAAAAATGTTATGAAGATTGAAATTACACAAAAGAAATGATCCATCCTTGTTAGCAAAATTGGAACAAAAAGTTGAATTCTACGTTTCAATGAATACATTCCCATTTTCCAAATAAAAATTTGTACAGTTTTTATGCAATGAAAAAAAATAAACAGCAAAGCTTAGGAAGAACTTCAAGTCAACATTTTAACATTATTGCATCGGAAACTCTTGATTTGAAGAAGAATTTACAAGATTTTACTTGAACAACTTCACTAAACATAACATATTTTTAAATAACCCTGGAATTAGTTTTACAAGATCTAAATTATCTCTTGAAATTATTCTAAATTACATCACCTCAGCAAAATTGAACATGGTAATTTGAAATTTTCAAATTATTGTTGCGCAACTAAACATGTTTTTAATATATGATTATTTTAAATTTATTTGATTCCATAATCTTCGTTTAATTTCTACGACACCAATAAGCTCAACTTATTTGTAAGATATCTTTTTTTGTTTTTATCAATTATGAAGATGTGTTCCCGCACTCTTATCAAGAATTTAAATTAGCGAATATAGCGACAGCGGGTTTTCCAAAGGGTTTAATTTTACGACAGAAATTTAAAGCAGATGTAGGCAAATTTTATAAGGCGCTATTTGGCGGTGCCAAGATTAATTCTGAAGGGGGTTGCGCGCTCCGAAAAAACTTGATCATTTTTATTCCGAGGTTTTAGCAAAGCAGTGAAAATTTTGAGCTTAAAATTTTTTTCGTTACCCTTAAAATTTTCGATTGGAAACTTTCATCGGGTTTCATCATAGCACTTTATGGGTGATAAAATTTTTTAAAAGGCACTGAAAGCAGTTTTTGCTTCTCTAAATATATGAACTTTAACGCTATTTTACTTTCGTCTAGTTGCCTGCAAGCAAGCCCTTCAATTCATTAGAAGCATTTTCCTTCACTTTGTTCACATTTTTTTCCTGGACTTCAGGTGAATTGATATTGACCTTGATTTCTTCTCTGTACGAACTTAGATACAGAAAACTGTTTGCCACAATTCGACACTGCGTTTCGTTCAGCATTTGACCACAATCTTCAACAAATTTGGCCTGAACAAATTGAAGTAGTTCTGCTCCACATCCGGAATCACCGCCTGAAGTTTTTGCCCCGTCTGAAGTTTGAAAATTAATGACTATTTTTGAAATTTTTTTGAAAGAATTGAAATTTTAAAACTTGAATATTTTTTTTTCTATCGGTTACTTTTTTCAGCTTTTAAAATTTTAAGTTCTAATTTGGTCAGATTAAAATATATTCTTTAAAAACTGCTTGAAATTAAAAGCTACATTTTCTCACAGTGATGAAATTGCTAATATAACACCGGGCAGAAAACAACTGAAAAATTATCCACATTATTTTGGGAATGAAGTATTTAGTTTGGTTCAAGCTGCTTTTTTGTGTTTTAGAAAGAGCTTGAGAAAGAATTTTCGAGCAAAAGAAAAAATTTTACAATTCCTTGTCGATCAGTTGCTAAAATACAATATATATGAACCTAGCTGACAGTTAAGTTAATGTTAGAGTAATGAAAAGAATTTAGCAATTTCATAAAAATAAATATAAATTTGAAGGTTGAAGAGAATTAAACATGCCTGTTTTTGAGCCTTCATTTATACCCTGAGTCGCTTTTTCAGCTTCCAGACGCTGTTTCTTCAGAGTGGGAGAAATTGGAATCTGTTTCTTGTCATTCATCTCCAGCTTGATTGTGAACATCACTTGACCTTCAGTGTTCAGGTCAAGGGTCATATCTTTCTGAACTCCGTCTTCCAAATCGCTATAAAAAAGCAGATATTGTCCGGAACACATCATGGCGTGAAACAGACCGGACGCATTTGCAGAAAAGTGAGTCGATTAGGGACTTATTTAGGTTGAGAAAAACTCAACACAAATCGACTGTTCGAACCAACTCAATAAAACAAGAAAAGATTATTTTGCTTGACCCAAATGGCTTATTTTTTGACCGAATCGACCCGAATTGGTGGCTGTCTGAAATTACTAAAACATGCAAAAAACGGGTCAATTTGTGTCTTATTTGTAAGAACGAAGTTGAAAAACATTTCAGACGAATCGATGGATTGAAGTTGTGCTCGATGGTGCCAAGTTAATCGATTATTTCATCGACCGACCCAACATATTTGACTTGAGCCTGTTTTGATTTAACTTGTTTGACTCCAGTAGATTAGATGGGTCTTAATAACTATCGTGTCCTATTTCGATTTCTAGAAGTTCAATTTAATTATCATATTTTGGATAGCTTAAAGCAAATTTTAGAGTTAAAGTTTAAATATACAGACATATTAATAAAATTGTAATAAAAACAAATAGGAACGCATGGTTGATCTTTCGTAAATAATCATAGCTGATGCAGACTTGTTTCATTGGTTACAAGTGTTAAAAATGGCCGTCGATTTTTCATGACTCAGCGACAAGTCAGCAATGAGCCATCGATGATGTCATTTGCATCAGTCCTCGATAATATATGTTGTTTTTTTTCAAAATGCTTTTTTATGCCGAAATATTGGTCCAGTTTAATGCATGCTTAGGGTATAGTGAACATGGTCCAATAATCAGGGAAGTTGTTTACAATTTGATTGGGTTTACATTTGTTTGGATTTTAAACAGGTGGCAAAAAACAATGGTTAATTGGTCAACTTGTCTTTTCTCTCGTTGTAATTTTTAAAAATTGTCTTTTTTGAGTATAAAAATCCGGTCGACTGTATTTTCACATGAAAGATTTCTTCTCGCTTTTTCATCAGATCATGATTCGACACTGTGTTCGGCTGCGTTTCGAAGTTAGAATAAGTGTTAGCTCCCACCATTGAAAAATTGTGGGGGAACTTTGCATTCGTGTTTTAATTTTTTTTCGTTTTTTTGTTTCCACGCAAAATCAGGAATCATGAATCATTTTAGTCGCAATTTGAACGACACTTAAAATTTGGAACCATTTCTCAAGAAACACCGGTTCGAAATAAGAAATTTTAAAAGTATATATACAAGAGTGGCCACTTATTGAAGCAGGACAGGCATAAAAATCTATTTAAAATTGAGATTTTTTCTTTTTTCATCCATTTTGTTGCTTTTTCTGCGTCCAGCAGCAATAATTGCAGTTTAGCTAAAAAGTGGAAAAACTGCAAAAAAAAATGAAAAAAGCTTGTATTGAGTAATGTTTCTTTCATTGCGAAAAATTGTTTTGAAAAACAAAAAGATTCAGATCAGTCTTTTCCGACACTGAGAGACCAATTTATGAATTTTTATTTTGGTTTTCAAGTTTTGATTGATGTTTATTCATTTTGTTCTCCTGTTTGAGGCGACAATCCTTGAGAAAGATAAACGAAAAAAAATGAGGGCCGAAAGATTTCTCTAATTTGAAAAATAGGATGGCGAGTTTTCTCATGTTCTCAAAGCTTGCACAGAAAGTTTTTGCACAAACTGACAAAAAAAACGCGAACAAATTTTAAAATAACTTACTTCGTATGAAAAAAGCTTTGAGTTTGAATCGAACAGAAGTTTTTTGCTATTTCTGAAAAGCTTTCAGAGATACAAGTCAAGCCTTTAAATGTGAAATTAAAAAAAAAACTCTTTTTGCTAACAAAAATGACTGAAATCTTTTACCAAGATTGTTGGTCAGATAGTGTACAAACAATACAAAACACTTTTGCTTAACTAAACCAGCCCGGAGGCCCAGATCGCAGGTTACATATTTAGGTTGACAAGAGCGCATATGAACAGCGCCCATTTAAATATGACATACTTGCAAGAACTCACCTGGCAAGCTGCAGTGCAAATGCAATTTGAACCTCAATCATACGATTGCTGGGCCTAACACTTCCGGCCTGCACCCAGGTTCAAGCGTTAATAATCGATTATATTACAATTTTAGTACCAGCTTTACAAAAATTGAGAAACAATCGATTTTAATCAATTATTAATTGATTATATTTTTTCTTTTTACAATCAAAGTATAATTATTTATATTCCATTATAATCGATTATAATTGATTATTTATTCGTCTATTTTCTATACAATTATAATAAGTTATAATTGATTATAATCCCCATTATTTTTATTCAAATTTCTAATTCATTAGGTTTGCACAAAAATCCATTATGATCGATTATATATGATTATAATCCTTTTTGTCCATTTTGTCGTTGTCCAAGTTGCATCTAAATTGCTTATATTTTATGCTTTTTTTAGACGTTGGTTCCTATGAAAAGTGAGAAAAATGTTTTGAACGTTTTCCAATCAATTCAGATTTATGAGGTGTTTTTTCGTTTCTTCCCAATTAGAGTTGTTTTGTGATGCATATTTCAAGTTTTTTTAAGCTCCAAAACATCAGCAAATTGACTTGGTTTTATTACTGATTCGCAAGATTTAGTTTCCATCTACCGCGGGAACCTTTCTACTAATATGAAAGGATCTCTATGAAACTTTTGTTTCGTGGTAAAACTTTGTATTCAGATGAAGCAAAGTGTTTAAAAGATCTCTCAAGAGATTTCCTTATTGACACAAAAATAATAACCCATAAGATATAATTCGAATATAGTTTTGAATTGACAAAACTTTGGGAAAATAAGAGATTATAATCGATTATTATCAATTATTATTGATTTCAAGGGATTTTTGTAAGACCTATAATCAACTATACTCGATTATAAGAGATTATAATCTCTTGGAAAATATCTTGATTAGAATCAATTATAAAGCCTTTAAATACCTAATTTTGGTAATTATAATCAATTATAATTGTCAAAAAATTATCATAATTATCCGTTATAATCGATTAGTTACGCCTAAAATTGGATGCGGGGGGCGCCACAATGCGACTTCGACACTCTTTTTTTAAATTGGATAGCTGGCACAGTACGGAGCTGGCACAGTACGATAGCTGGCAAAAAAAGATACGAGAGCGCAGTGACTCTTGAAAAAAGGAGATCAGCGATGTATTAGGTGACGTGGAAGAAACAAATGCAGGAACATAATTAGTAATTGACACATCAGATCTTTTAACTGACCTATTTTTGAGAGTTGGCAGAAGAATGAAAAGCTTTTACATACATTACGAGGCCAAACTGTGCACTGGATAGGAGCACAATTTTGTGTCTGTATGTTCCTGGATTACAGAGACAAGTTTTTAAACCGGTTAAAATTTTGTCGGAACGATCAAATAGAAGGAAAGAACAAAAGAAGAACAAAGGGAGCATTCTTGTTGAGGAATCAGCTTACAATGCACAAAATGCACAGTTTGGCCTAGTAATGTAGGTGCATAAGAACGAGATGCTCAACCTTATATTTCGGCTATCGAGATAACAATTCGATATATTTCAAATGTCACGACGAGAATTGATTAATTTTAAGTTTTTGCTTGACAAGACAGCGTCTACACCAAAAATATTCAGTAGCAAATGGCCTTGAAAGTTGAAACCTAAGTCGAATTTCGACGCAGGATGCAACAAAATGCAACATTATTTTTTAAACTCTTAGAATGAGCACCCTATACATTTTCTAAGGGTTTATATCCAATATTTAATCATTTTTTATGTGTGAGCTTTGACCAAAGCACGCATTTTTTGAAATTTTTTTAAAAATCTGAAAATCTTCGTTATCCAAAATTCCAGAAAACTTCAATTCTAGAAACTTTGCCCGTTTCTTAAAAAAATCGCTTGCAACACGGAATTGATGTTCAAAACTGCTATTTCATAAAGTTTGGGGAAATCTTCGAAAAATGATAATAAGTTTGACAACATTTCCATTTTTTTGAAAACCTACCATTAGTTTTCAAAATCTTAGATCCATCTCTGCTCCTAATCTAATCATTCTTTAGAATCTCAAGCGATCATTTCAGCCCATTTTTTTTTTCTTTGTGATCATCAACAAGGTCTTTTCTTTCAACGAAACTAGAATTTTAGCAATTTTGAAATCCTTGAGAGGAAAAAAATGAGCCTAATTTATTTAATTTTTTTTAAATTAAATTGAATTTAAAACAGTTCGTAAAGGTACCGATGCTATTTTAAGTAAGTAGAAAAATCTACCTATAAAGTTTCATATAAAAATAAAATGTATCTTAGCTGTACCTGAAGTCCATTTCGGCAGAACCCATTGGATCGTCTCCGTCCCCCACTCCATCATAATCCCAGAAAGTGAGGATCAATTTGAGACTCCGAGGACGCACCTGAACAAAATTTAGTAACTAATTCGTGTTCGATTTCTTTCGAGTTTAGATCTTAAATTAGAAGCGACTAATAATTTTGGTAACTATTTTACAATTAGTAACTAATAATGATGAGTTAACTTGAAAAAGTTAAATTTCTCGATTAATAATGCTACAATAAGGATTTTTTGAAATTTGAAAAACCTGAGACCAGTAGCGGATTTAGAGGGAGGGGGAGGGGAGGGAGGGGGCGGACACTTTTTTCTTTCAGGGATTCGACACCCTTTGTACTATTTTGAGATATCCATTTTTGGATGACTGACCTTAAAATTGTTCTTAAGGCGCCTTTTTTGTCAATATATACTAATTTTGATGAGGGAGCACGCGCCGAAAAAACGCGATTTTTTGGCCGAAATTTTCCGAAAAGTGCATAAAAACCCCTTTTTTGGCCTGTTTTTTGCGGCGGAGAAAAGTTGATCAATCTAAGGGTCTTCATAGTGATTTGGGAGAGCTCAGAAAATCAATTTGGTCGACCTAAAAAAATGTTCGAGTCCCAGCATGATTTGTGCTCGTTTTTTGAGGGTGAGGCAATATTACGCTGCCCAAATTAAAAAAAAAACAATATGTTTTTCTGAAGCAGGACCCTGACAAGGGTTTTCTGTCAAGAGTTGAAAAACTCGTATGTTGGCCCTTTTACCTCGTGGAAAAATAGTCTTAATCCAACTATTTATCTTACCTCGAATTCGAAGTCTTCATTATAAGCCGGATTTTTGGTCCACTTTTTGACCCTTGACTTTTTCGCTGCTTCTGATGTCATGTCCGACATCCGCAAAATACAATAAGGATCAGATGAAAACATATCAGCTGTCATTAAATTCTTGGCGCCTTTCAAGAAAATTGTGCATTTTCCAATCGGCTCGTTGAACTTTCGTTCCATTTCATTCAGACAAGAGTCGATCGAAAGTGTGAACACATTTTCAGCAAGTTCTTTCAATTTTGGAACTTCCGGGTTGAATTGACAAATCCACGTGATTTTGGTCTCCGGTGATTGGTCAACCTCGTTAAGAGCTCCTTTCAGTTTGATCGTGAAAAGCGTGCCTCTAACATCAATAGCAGAGTCGCCATCTTTTGAAGCAGATACGTCCGAGTTTTTGTGATATTCCAGAAGGCTATAAATCAATGTGTAGATTTCAGACTTGCAGAAATCGAGCCGCTCTTTGAATGAATGCACTTCGTCTTTATGAGTCATTTTTACCATTCTTACAACACCTTTTGAAGACTTTCCGTCTTTTTTGGATGCTTGATTGGAGACCAGTTCTATGGAAGTTATGGCGGGAAAATGAGGGATCCATTGCTGGTCGAAAGTTTTCACCCAGCCCCAAACTGCGTTGACCTCCATGGGGATAACTTTTTGTCTGACAATTTTTCCAGGAGATGATTTTTCCGTTGCCATTTTAAAATAAAAACTGTAGTGTCTGGAAAAAATTCTAACGGATATACAAAACTTAGACGGATATTGTTTCGGTATGCGATTCTAGAGTTTAAATGTATTATTGTTGACGTCAATTTATGCTGAAAGTTTTTTTCAAGTTTGGATAATGATATTGTATTTTTTTTTATTTCTCTTCAAGTTGGAACTAATAAAATTTTACAGTCTCAATGTTGGCAACATCTGGCCTTTAACCAGTTAGAAGCTCCAGTTGAAAAATAAAGTGTCTTGTGAATTCTTTCTAACACGAACGCAAACAGTTCTTTTCCAAGTTGTCATTCATAAGATAACGCTCGATTGAAAAACGCATCTAGTCATTTTATGCAATTTTATGTTAATACAATTTTAAGCTATATTCAGGAGCAATTGGCGTAAATCAATCAATCTCAGTTGAGAAATGATATTTTAATTTTCGCTCCCACTGAGTTTTGTATAATGTTTCTGATAAATAAAAAAAAAACATGGACTTAATTACAGATGCAAAGATGAAACTGTTTAATTAAATTAAAAACGTTTTCACCTCGTATAGTTTGTTTGTAAACTCAAAATATAATTTTTTTACTTACCTATAAGCAAATGTTTGAAAAAAATTTACTTAAGTATTTTCAACAAAACATTTAATTGAACAGTCGAAAAACTTAAGGCTTCAAATTCAACCTGATTTGAGCAACATTTTATTTCTCGCATCAAAATTAAGGCTCAATTTTTTTATTATTGATTTTTTGATAATTACAATTAAATATATTTCCCAAAATTAGGTGTTCGAAGGAATCATATATCGATTCTAACCGTTATATTTTCCAAAAGATTATATTCTTTTATAATCCATTATAATTGATTATAGTTTTTACAAAAAAAACTCTTTAGGTTGAATGTAATCGATTGTAATCAATCGTAATTTTTTATTTAGCCGAAAACTTGTCACGCCAAAAAATAATTCAATTATATCTTATGCATTATTATTTTATATTATTATATATAAATATAAAATTTTATATTATAAAATTTTATATTTATGTTATTATAAAAACTAGCGCCTAAGAAAAGCATGAAATATATTAAACTTCGAAATTTTCATCCTAATTCAGATAACACTAACACAATTCATCAGATAAAAGTATCCCAATTATCCCAATACAGATACATTTGCTTAAGAGGCAAAGCACTTTCAACTAGTAGCTTGTTAAATAAAGTCAAAATAGATAACATTTTCTACTTAATTTTATATAAGGGGTTCTTGATAAAAACACATATAGAAAACATTTCACGTTAGTTTTTTCATTGAAAATTTTAGTAAAACTTCATACAAAAAACTTGTCCAAACAGTCAGAAAATTTAAAACTTCACCCTGATTTGAACAATTTGTTATCGCCCCTATCTAAAATTAGGGTTAAGGAATTGGGTATAACGAGTTTTATATTGGATTTTTAACAATTAAAATCAAATATAGTTTTCAAATTTAGGTAATTAAATAATTTTTAATCATTTTCATTTGTAATAATTTCCAAGATGTTATAATCTCTTTTAATCCATGATAAATAATTATCGTGCTTACAAAAAAAAACTCTTTAAATTGATGATTTTTCAAAGATAATTATTCAGTCAAAAACGAATCTCTCAGGCTGAGATTTCGTTTCAGTCTTTGGTTCATCTGAACACAAAATTATCTCATGAACAAAAACTTTACGGAGGGCGCTTTATATTAATTGAAAGGTTCCCGCGGCAGTTGAAACATTTTGAACCGGTCATAATTGATTGAAATATATTATAATGATTTTAATTTGTTTTGAAAGGGAGAGATTAAAATGAATTATAAAATGAGATATAATTGTGACAGAGTACTGCTAAGACCAGGTCCATAAGAAGCTGAAACAACTCAAAAACATTTCAAGTTTTTGTCAAGATTTTCAAGTTGACTTTGATTTCATGGTAGAAATTATCGCCAGAATAAATAAATTATAGGAAAAAAACCACTTCTGGATTTTTTCCTTTACAACAATTTTAAAAATTCATTGTGGAATGTTCAGAATTTGACAACTTTGTGAATTTTACTTTCTTCTGAACCAAAGGTATACTGGTCAAGTCTTTGTCTCCTGCTTATGAAGATGTAGTTTGAGAACTTGAAAACCTGAGGAAACATCATAAAATTCGAGAAAATAGTGATCATTTAAACCAGTGCTAATTTTAGCAAAACTACAACTACCTATCGAACTAGTAAACCCCGCGTAACAAAAAGTACTTCAAGTATATTTTTAGAAAATGACTCCTAGTTGATGATGTCATTCGGCAAAACATGCTCTTGATTGCGGAATAACTGACAGACTTCAGCAAAATGTGAAAAGAGCCGAATTTCATTGTTCACCAAATTCTGAGGACAATATTATCGTGAATTATGTCTTTGGAAAGCACTGCAAATTTTGATCCACTGGAAAATTTGCAGAGCTCAATGGTTTTTGCACCTGAAAAATTATTTATTAGTTTTTTTGTTGTACAAAGTCTTTCGGATTCAGCCAATTAAAAATCAGCACTTAGCATGTGTATTACTGAAAAAGGCAAAATTTTTTCAAAAGGCAATTCTTCATTTGGCTAGTTTATGGGAAAAATGTTTCTTCAAGCTCATACAGCAACAACCACCTGTTCTCTGGCTTTACAGGACCTTCGTGCCACATTTTAGATGTCACCAAATGCTATCTCACTGAAGACGTTTGTCAAAACAAACTTCCTATTCTTAATGATAGCTTACACTGACCGAAAGAGAAGTTCGTACCGTGAATGTCTGCTCAACTTTTTTGTCCCCTAACCCGTTAATTTTGTTGTCTCAGTAAACTTTTTTGAGGCAACCAGTTTGAGGCCGCTGTATTTTCAATTTTGAAACGATTAAATTCGTTTTTATTATTTCGATCACTGAATGTAACGAGGAAATTTGCAGCCGAATTTATTTTAGTGTCTTCTTTTTTTTTATTCCACGCAAAAGTAATTCAGATTGAGTCAAGTGATAAATCATATTAAAACAGTTTCAGTTGTGATTTGAAGTTTTCAATTTTCACTGCAGTAATAACAGGTTTTTTAAGCTTAATAGAGCGCTCTGTTGGAAATAAGACTAAGAAAATCAAAAATCCCTTCATGGATAGGATTAATTAAAATCATGAAAATCTACGATGGTTGACAATTTTTGACAGTCGGTTAAACTCGAACTGATAATAGAGAAACATCAGTAGATTAAAACACATCGTACTGAAATGTATCGTGAAACTGCATCATACTCTAGTGAACCTCCATGCCCGTGTACATTTAATACACACGATCCTTGATCAACCTGGTTGAGAAAATAGTTCACAAAAAATTTTAAAGCTGTTGCTATATTTTACTAGTCCGCCTAGATTAAAAACACAAAAAGTTTGCTTTTTTTCTTAACTAATTTACCATAAAGAACATTATTTTATGAAATTTATTGAAAAATTGCTTGATATTGTTATTTAACATGTACTTTATTTATTTTTATAACTTCCATTCGATTTAATTTTAAATGTCAGTTTCCGCAGTTATTTTTGCTCTTTCCGCAACTATTAGCTATCAAAATTAATGCTAATAGTTGTTGTCAGGACATGTCAAACGCTTTAAAATGGGTTCATTCGATAATGTTGACAGCAAATCATTGCGCCGTTTGTTTTGGAGTGTTTGAACAGTGGTCTAACAACCCAAAAGAATTTCTCCAAAACAAATTGACTTCAAATTTCTTTTCCAAGAAAAAAATTTCAGCACTTCTGTGGCCATGCAAAAAAATGCCATTTAAACTTTTTTTATGTACAAAATTAAAAATACTCCATCGGGTCATTCATAGTATTTGGCGACTTGCTTGACACTGAATTTGAACGAAACAATAATCGCCATAATCGCAAGAAATTGCGTTTGACTTCTGACTTAATCATTTTCAGAGATTGCTTCCATGTAGCCATAGGCCGTTTAATTGTTTTACTTATTGTTTACTCTGTTCATTTGCATTTATACACTAGTAGATAAAAATAAACGTAATTTTAACGACAAAAAAAAACACATTTTGGGCAACAACGACATCAAAAATTTTACATTGGCTATGAGCAAGTGCTCTATGAAAGTACCAACTCTTGATTTCAACAAATAAGTTTATTCCGGATCTCAAAAAGACCTTTTTCACTGTGCGCAGTAGTTTTGATAGGGGAGTGAAAATCTTGTTTGATAACTGAAATGAAAAAAAGTAGATCATCTTAAAATTTTTCCAGCGAGAAAATTATTTTATACTCCTTGTGACAACTCGTTTAAAGTAAACTGATTCCCACAATTTCACGCCTATGGAGAAATTTAAATCCAAAAGTAGAACCAACCCTATCCTTTTTAGAGCTAAAATCAGCTGGTACGTTCTTCTTGCCAAAAATTGGTTCTTTTTTTAGATGGTACCTCTGATCAATTTCTCTCGGTTCAAGTAATAGTTTTAAGACTGAATAATTTTTGTCGGCGAATGCTTTTGTCGGCTAAACAAACAAGACTACTCGTAGCCCTGATCCTAGTTTGAAGCCCTGAAGGTTTTGACTGTGTTTTAAGTTCTATGGAATAGTGTTAGCATTTGCTTTACAAACAATGGAAAAAACTTTCTAGGAAACATTATTTTGGAAATCAGCCCCGCACATGCTGTGTTAACTACAGAATTAGATATTCAACATAGAGTAACCTATCATGGTGATTCAACACCAAGCCTCTTGCAGTCGGAACAATCAGGGCTTCAACCTGGTACGAGCAGTCTTGTTGCTCCGACTTTCGATACGAAAGTAACGGATTATTTGTGCTCGGGGTGGTTTTTTTTTCTTCAGACAAATTTCGACTTATAACTAGCCGTTTTTGACGGATTTTTTTATCATTCAAAAGGGTTTGTTCTCTTAAGCTTAAATTTGAAAATATATTTCACCTGTAATCTTTTTTTGTAAAGTTATGGGGGTTTAAAGATTGCCATTTTTGGCCAATTTGGGACAATTAACGCGCGATATATTTCGCGCTTTTAACGCGTAAGCGTAGATTTAATCCGTCTTAAAAATCGTTCCAAATTGTTTGAAAGAAGCTTATTTGCCATAATTGAGTTGTTGCAAAGAGAGAAATTTACTCTTTTGTCTTTTATATGGCGAGTGGGGGGATGATTTTCATAAAAAATTTCAAATTTTAGAATTTTTTTTCATTTTATTTTTTTAACATTTAATTTTCTTGTTACTACTGTTCCATAAACCTTAAAAGGCAGTCGGAACATTCAGGGCTTTGCCCTGATACGAGCAGTCTTGTTTCACTTTGGAATGATATCTAATACTGATTAATTCTGCTTTTACGCGTTATTAGCACGAAGTATATTACACCTTAATTATCCCAAATTGTCCAAATTGAAAATCTTTAACCGCCCGTAATTCTAAGAAAAATTATCACAGATGAAATGTATTTTGGTTTTTGACCTCAAGAAAACAATTTCGTCCAAGTTGCTTGATAAAAAAGTTGAAATTTGTCTAAAAAAGACCGAGCGCAATAAACTCAAATTGCGTTTCCTATCTACTAGTCTATAGAACAAACTCTACGACTCAGCCATATCCTGAGACCGGTGCAAAAAATTTGACTTGACAACTGTCTTTTTCGATAATGAAATCTCACATTGAGTTTGAGTTTGGGATCAAGTTAACATCCTCCTCCCCCCAATAGACCACGTTAAGATCATCCACCCCAGTGCTTAAATTAAATTAAATTTGCTAAGGGCTGCATGTAAAATGCTCGATTCTGATTGGCTGAAAATTCCTAACTTAGAACCAAGTTAACATCCTCTCCCCTAAACGTGTTTAGGGGGGAGGATGTTAAGTTGATCCTGAGTTTGTCTATTAGACTACAGAAAATCTTCAACCAGTTCATATCCTAAATAGTACGGAGCAAAAAAGTCCTGAGCTACAATTATTATCGTGTAAAAATGAAAACAAAGACGTTTTCATTAGTTCTCTTTTTGTTATATTTTATCTACTTGTTGTTCTTATCAAATTTCAACTCGAATTACCGCAAATCTGACCAAACGGTGGCTCACTTTTTGAATTCTGATTCCTTTTTGCCGAAAAAAAGTTCGCACGCTTTGGCTGAAATTTACTCAACGTGTGAATTATTGTGGAGTAAAAACGCTAACGAAAAGCTGATTAACTCATCAATTGCCCGAAATCACCATGCAATTCCTGCACTCAAAACAGATATATCAAATTGTTCTTCCTACTTTGATTATCGTGAAGAATTTTACATCCCAGATCCTATTACGAAAGACGAAGAAAATTTCCCGATTGCCTTTAGTCTGCTCGTGTACCACAATTTTGACCAAATTGAACAATTGTTCATGTCAATTTACAGACGGCAGAATTTCTACTGTTTCCATGTGGACGCTTCTTCACACTCAGCTTTTAAGAGGAAGGTTACTTCATTACATCATTGGATTACATCATTGGATTACATAATTTGATTTCATCATTTGATTACATCATTTGATACCATTTATTGGCTTTTTTCTTTACCCAAACCCTCACCTGCAATTTTTTACAGAATTTTTCAGTTCGCGCTGTCCGCTTGTTACAATAAAAAGAAAGTCTGCCTAGCATACAATTTGTCAAGCATATCTGGCCTTCATACTTAACCTCGCAAAACACCCCTCGTTACGCCATAAAACTGATGCTTATGTGAGGCAGGGGCTGATTTAGGAAGGGGGGAGGAGCATTTATAAATAAATCATTATGAACCACATGAGTTTGTTTTTGGGTTAAACCAAGAAAAAGTGAGAAACAGGTATTGTTTGATTTCAGATTGCACAGCTGGCGAAATGCTTTCCGAATAATGTAGTTGTTGATAGTCAACCTGTGGATGTAAAATATGGAACTATTTCAATCCTGGAGGCGGAGTTTCGATGCATGACTTCCTTGATCAAGGATTTAAATTTATATTTAACAACTGACCCCCCCTTGCTATAGCAGAATGTGGGAGTTTTATTATCTTCTTAACTCATGGTCGCGGTCTCAATCTCAATTGCTTTAGTCAGAAACAATTTTTTGCAAGGTTGTTCGATGATGTTTACCAATATAACGAGTTTTAGTTTTGTTATTGAATGAGAGGCAGCAAACTGTGGCCCTTTTTTGTTTTTTTTTTCAAAAAATTTGTGGGATAATCTTAATCTTTGTATTTAATAACTGATTGTTCCCCTCTTCAAACAATTTTTTTTAAATATGCTATTTATCATGTTCATGCAAGGTTCCAGCAAGGTAAAGTCTTCAAAACAAAAATATTTTACTTCATCATATTGTATCGAATGATCATTAGGATGAGAGTTAAGTGGGGTGGTGAGCTCTTAGAGAGTTGTTAAATATTTCTTCAAGTTCTCAAAAGAATGGAAATATTCGATTAATTTAACTGGCGAGGAGCTGCCTTTGTTCACAAATTTGGAGCTGGTTGAAGTTCTTCGAAAATTGAGAGGCGCCAATGTTTTGGATGGTTAGTTAAAATTGATACTTCTAACGAATTTCAAAAAAGTAAGAAAAATTTACTCTAGGGGTGCCTTTTTATTTAGGCCAACTTTACAACGAAAGCTTTGACTCAGGTGGGTATGCGCAAACTAGCCTAACTTCAATTGGAAAGTTCTCGTTTAACTTCAAATAGTTTCAAAACGACATTTATTTATGCGTCGCAAGTTAGCTCGCACTCATAAGCGTTCCAATTTGAACTGAGGCAAACTAGATGATTCGTTCAGTCAAATTATTTCTATTGTATTCAAATTTTAGCTTTGATTTTTATTTCGATTTGATAATTGCAGTTTCAAATTTCGAAGTCTAACAAAGTTTTTTTTGCCAAAAATTTATTCAGAAACAGTTAAGGGATAATTTGAACATCCAAGGCTTTGGTGCCCTCATAAACGAGCAGTCTTGTTGTTCCAAATTTTAAAGGAGGACACAAAAATTTTTTACTCTGGGCGGTTTTTTCTCTAGACAAAATTACCGTTTAAAACAATTTTTTTTCGATCATCCGAAAGCTACTGTTGTCTTGAGCTCAAATACTAAACGATATTTTACCTCTGCTTGTTTTGAATCAATGACCATTTTTCCCACATCGTGTTAATAACACACGCGATATAGTTCGTGCTATTATTGTGTACGCGGATATGAAATCGTTCCAAATTTAATTGAGGCCTCCTATCTGGTCGACTTTAAAATTTGCTACATCTGATCAATTCGAATCAATTTGTAACTGTTACTTGAAGTTTCCATTCACCCCCTGTTACTTTAGAAATATCAATAGTGTGAAAGGAATTTAAAAAAAAATCTGAAACAAAATTCAACATTTTTTAAATTAAAGTTCACCAGTTTGACACGAAAATTTCATCTTTTTCTCGTCTTTTTTTTATTTTTCGGTTCCTCATCTTTATGTTTGACATAAATTTCCATATAATTTTAAGAATGTGTATCTGAAACGTTGTGTCAGTGAAAGTGCTTTCCTAATTTAAAGTCGCAAGTGTGCAACTACTTCAGAAAAAAGCCATGGATACTTCAAGTTACGTGTTTGATCGTCGAAAATTTCTGAAAAGTGCCTGAAACGCTTTTTGGCCTGCTTTTTTTTGCTTGCGGCACAAAAAATGTTTTAGAAAATAGGGTTCTCATGGTTTTTTTTGGAGAATTTTGCGCACGCCACTGGGTGGCGTGGTTAATTTTTAGAGTTGTTAAAAAATTCTTCTTAAATTTCCAAAAGAATGGAAGTCTTTGATTAACTTAACCCAAGAGGAGCTGCCTTTGTTCACAAATTTGGAGCTGATTGAAGTTCTTTAAAAATTGAGAAGCCCGAATGTTTTGGATGGTTAGTTAAAATCGATACTCCTAAAGAATTTCATAAAAGTGAAAAAACTTTATGATAGGTATGCTTTTATTATTGAGACCAATTTAACAACGAAAGTTTTTACGCAGGCGCGTATGCTTGCACTAGTTAAATTTCAGTTGGAAACAAGTCGTTCATTTTCTAATAGTTTCAAAACGCCATTTGTTTATGCGTCGCAAATTAGCTCCACTCATAAACATTCCATTTTGAATTGAGGCAAGCTAGATGATTAGTTTAGTCAAAATATTTCCGTAATGTATTCAAATTTTAGCTTCGATGTTTTTTCAATTTGATAATTGCAGTTTTAAAGTTCGAAGTCTAACGAAGTTAATTTTGCGAAAAAATTTTTCAGAACCAGTTAAGGGATAATTTGAACATCCAAGGCTTTTCTGCCCTCAAAAACGAGTAGTCTTGTTGTTCCGACTTTTAAAGAATTAGACGGAAATTTTTTGCTGTGGGCGGCTTATTCTCCCGACAAAATTAGCGTTTATAACAAATTTTCATCGATAATCCGAAAGTTATTGTTGTCTATTAGACAATGAGCTCAAATACTTAACAATATTTAACCTGTGTTCTCTTTTTTTTTAATTATGGGGATTTGTAAAAGTTACCAATTACCCACATCGGGTTAAAAACACATGCGATATATTTCGTGCTATTATTGCGTACGCGGATAAGAAATCGTTCCATATTTAATTGAGGCCTCTTATCTGGTCGATTTTTTTTTGAACTTTGCTACATATGATCAATTAAAATCAATTTGTTACTGTTACTTAAAGTTTTCTTTCACCCTGTTAATTTAGATATATCAATAGCGTGAAAGGAATTCTTTTAAAAGAAAGTCTCAAAAAAATTTAAATTTTTTTTTTTAATTACAGTTTATCATTTTGACACAAAAATTTCAATTTTTTCTTGTCTTTTGTTCACTTTCAGTTCCTCATCTTTATGCTTGACATAAATTTCTATATAATTTTAAGAATGTGTATCTGAAACGTTGTGTCAGTGAAAGTGCTTTCCTAGTTTAAGGTTGCAAGTGTGCAACTACTTCAGAAAAAAGCCATGGATACTTCAAGTTACGTATTTGTTGGTCAAAATTTTCTAAAAAGTGCCTGAAAACCCCTTTTTGGCCGGCTTTTTTTTGCTTGCGGCGCAAAAATTGGTTTAGAAAATAAGGTTCTCATAGTTTTTTTGGAGAATTTTGCGCACGCCACTGTTTGGGGTGGTTAATTTTTAGAGTTTTTAAAAAATTCTTCTTAAATTTCCAAAAGAATGGAAGTCTTTGATTAACTTAACACGAGGGGAGCTGCCTTTGCTCACAAATTCGGAGCTGATTGCGGTTCTTCAAAAATTGAGAAGCCCGAATATTTTGTATGGTTAGTTAAAATTGATACTCCAAACGAATTTCATAAAAGTGAAAAAACTTTATGATAGGTATGCTTTTGTTATTGAGACCAATTTAACAACGAAAGTTTTTACGCAGGCGGGTATGCTTGCACTAGATAAATTTCAGTTGGAAACATGTCGTGCATTTTCTTATTGTTTCAAAACGCCATTTATTTATGCGTCGCAAATTAGCTCGCACTCATAAATTTTCCATTTTGAATTGAGGCAAGCTAGATGATTCATTTAGTCAAAATATTTCCGTTTTGTATATAAGCTTCGACTTTTTTTCAATTTGATAATTGCAGTTTTAAATTTCGAAGACTAACGAAGTTACTTTTGCGAAAAAAAATTTCAGGACCAGTTAAGGGATAATTTGAACATCCAAGGCTTTGGTGGCTTCAAAAACGAGTAGTCTTGTTGTTCCGACTTTTAAAGAAATAGTCGGAAATTTTTTGCTCCGGGTGGTTTTTTTTCTAGACTAAATTACCGTTAGTAACAACTTTTCTTCGATCATCCGAAAGATAGTATTATTTTGAGCTCAAATACATAACAAAATTTCACCTGTGCTCATTTTTCTCAAATTACAAGTATGAGTAAAATTTACCAAATTGCCCACATCGAGCTAATAACACACGCGATATATTCCGTGCTATTATCACGTACACGGATATGAAATCATTCCAAATTAAATTGAGGCCTACTATCTGGTCGATTTTAAACGTTGCTATATATGATCAATTCAAAACAATTTGTAACTGTTACTTAAAGTTTCCTTTCACACTGTTACTTTAGATATATCAATAGCGTGAAGGGATTTTTTTCTAAACATATCTCAAATAAAATTCAAATTTTTTTTTCTAAATTTAAGTTCATCAATTTGACACAAAAATTTCATGTTTTTCTTGTCTATTGTTCTTTTTCAGTTCCTCATCTCTATGTTTGATATAAATTTCCATATAATTTTAAGAATCTGTATCTGAAACGTTGTGTCAGTGAAAGTGTTTTCCTAATTTAAAGTTGCAAGTGTGCAACTACTTCAAAAAAAGCCATGGATACTGCAAGTTACGTATTTGTTGGTCAAATTTTTCTAAAACATGCCTGAAAACACCTTTTTGGCCTGCTTTATTTGCTTGCGGCGCAAAAACTGATTTAGAAAATAGGATTCTCATAGTTTTCCGGAGAATTCTGCGCACGCCACTGGGTGGGGTATTTAATTTTTAGAGTTGTTAAAAAATTCTTCTTAAATTTCCAAGAGAATGGAAGTCTCAATTAACTTAACCCGAGAGGAGCTGCTTTTGTTCACAAATTTGGAGCTGATTGAAGTTCTTCAAAAATTGAGAAGCCCGAATGTTTTGGATGGTTAGTTAAAATCCATACTCCTAACGAATTTCAAAACAGTGAGAAAAGTTTTATGCTAGGTATGCTTTTATTATTGAGACCAATTTAACAACGAAAGTTCTTACACAGGCGGGTATGCTTGCACTAGATAAATTTCAGTTTGAAACAGGTCGTTCATTTTCCAATAGTTTCAAAACGCCATTTATTGTTGCGTCGCAAATTAGCTCGCACTCACAAACATTCCATTTTGAATTGAGGCAAGCTAGATGATTCGTTTAGTCAAAATATTTCCGTATTGTAATCAAATCTTTGCTTCGACTTTTTTTCGATTTGATAATTGCAGTTTTAAATTTCGAAGTCTAACGAAGTTACTTTTGCGAAAAAAAAATTCAGAACCAGTTAAGGGATAATTTGAACATCCTTTTTTCAAATTACAAGGATGAGTAAAATTTACCAAATTGCCCACAACGAGCTAATAACACACGCGATATATTCCGTGCTATTATCGCGTACGCGGATATGAAATCATTCCAAATTAAATTGAGGCCTGCTATTTGGTCGATTTTAAACGTTGCTATATATGATCAATTCAAATCATATTGTAACTGTTACTTAAAGTCTAGTTTCACACTGTTACTTTAGATATATCATTAGCGTGAAGGGATTTTTTTCTAAAAAGATCTCAAATAAAATTCAAAATTTTTTTTCTAATTTTAGGTTCATCAATTTGACACAAAAACTTCATATTTTTCTCTGGGTGGTTAATTTTTAGAACTTTTAAGTAATTCTTCCTAAAATTCCAAAAGAAAGGAAATATTTGATTATCTTAACAGGAGAGGAGCTGCCTTTGTTCAAAAATTTAGAACTGATTGAAGTTCTTCAAAAACTGAGAAGCCCGAAAGTTTTGG